TTATGATTCTTAATGTCTTCATAAGATTCGCAAGTGCATATCATTCATTTAGAAAATAGTGTTTACATTCGATCTGCTTGCACTCGCTTATTTGTTAATTTGGGTGTGATTGATTTCAAATTAAAGCTTAAAACAATGTTATTTGCTTTCAATTGGTGTATGGTTTTTTAAAGTATAACCCCACGGAGTGCTCCTTTTGTTTACAAATAAATGTTCGCACTTGATCAATTTTATGTGAATTTTGTAATTCCAATTTTAGCAATTCTGAGCAGGCTGTAAGAGATTATTTTTTTCCTCGTGGAGGAGTTGTCGGGCTTTGTCCATGCTAATAAGAGGGTTATAATATCCCCTGTAATTCTTTATATGTTTTATTTATGATCTTATCTTACAATTTTTGTTAATTTTTTTTTTAGCCTCATTTATTATGTAGAAAGTCACTTAGACTGTTCTATTTAAATTTCTTTGTAAGCTTATTTTACTAAAAATTTTGGCAGTGCTTGGGTGTATCCCCAACTCGCCCCCCATTCTAAAAAAAAAAACATACAAAAAAGTTGATGTCATAATCCTTTATCAACTTCAACCATCTACTTTGTCTAAAATTTGTTCTTTCTGAATAATGACGTACTTTGAATTTTGATAATTTGAGTAGATCTTATATCTCACTAAATAATAATTCAATTTTTTAATGTGAATATAAAAGTTGTCAACTCCAAATCATGCGTTAGATAATTTTTCTCATGTGACTTTTATTATTGAGAAACATCTGCAATAACTCTTATATGTTATAGCAACAACCCAATCCTCTCTTAAAAGCATCACTCAACACCTAAAAATAAAAACAAATAGATGAAATAGTTAGAACAAATGCTGAAAGTAATCCTTTAATCTTTGAAAATTGATCTCACACTCCATGTTTAGTCCAAAAACAGTGTTTTTTAGTCAATTTGTCAAAGGACAACATTATCTGAAAATCATTTATCAAGCCTCTGATATTAACCTGTCATGCAAAAGATCTATGAACCTTTGACATTAAAGTTGGTCTCGATCTAAATTAATAATATTTCCTAACTTATAACTAAATTCCAATCCAAATTAACCTTGAAATATACTATTACCTCAAAATAAATACTTATAAAAGCATTGAAACCTATCACTTTAGTTTGGAGCCAATTCATCGCAGAAATTGCCAAAATCTAGATTCTTAATTAACCTAATTCACATCTTTTCTCCCCTCTCCTCTTTCTTTTCTTTTCTCCCCCATCTCCACTTCTTCTTCCTTTCCTTTTCTCCCTCTCCTCCTCCTCTTCTTCTTCTTCTTCTTCTTCTTCCATTTCTTCCTATTTCCTTTTTCCCCTTTTCCCTCAGCCAGTCCTGTTCTAGCTCTTTGTTACACGTGGAATGGCTAACTTATGGCTAATTTAATTTATTAACCCAATTAGTTTTTTTCTTAAAATGATTCAGCCATTCATTTTATCATTTATTGCATCTTAAATTTAGTGAAATTTTGAATTTCCATCACTTCTATTATAGCATCGTGAATAGTATTATTAAACTAAACGTCATAAAAGTTTACTTTAAATGAAAGTTAATTCCATAACTTCATCTTTTAGAATTAAGAGATACTTTTAAATTTTAAAATGATAATTTTGAATTGTAGAATACAAAGATTTGTATAAAAATTAAAAATGGCAGTATAATTTATTTAGAGTATTTTGCACTTGTACTTTATAAAAAAAATATGAGTAATACATTTCAACTTTTGAATACACCAATATATGTTCCATAAAAATGATAATAAATTCATTAACTTATACTTTAAAATATTGTTCGTCATATTCATATATACAATGAGGTTTTTAGTTACATTAAAAGGCCTGATTAATAATTCATAATGATCATGACAGATGTTGAAAGCATTCTTCATCATGCCTTTCTTATTTACCATTAATTTTTAATACTCAGATCTCAAATCTATTTTTAAAACATGCACCTTCTAGGTGGTCAATTATTTTATCAATTCTAGGCAGCATATACTTATCTTATATGATCACCTATTTTAATGCTCTATAATAATGCACATTCATATCATGTTATATTTCTTTTTCATAAATAACACTGGTACACTTCACGAAGATATATTAAGTCTGATAAAATCCGTCTACTAACTTTAATAACTAAATCTTTAACTTCTATATTTCTTTAGATGTTATTTTATAAAGGGCATTCACAATAAGAAATGTACCAGATATTACCTTGCTATGAAACTCTCTCTATCTTGGTAAAATTATCTACTCACAACAAAAATGCATCTAAAATCTTTCGTCGGAGGAAGATACTCCTCTCACATAAAGTTGGGATTAAGGAAGACTCGGCCTTGGTTGACGAAAGTACGAATGATTACTAGAGAAACTTATCTACTCATATCACATTATGCATGATATTCACTTTCTTATTAGTGCTGTTAGTTTATGATTAATCTCACCAAAAAACACCTTGATGTTGTATACAGGATACTAAAGTGAGTTAAAAGGGCACTTGTATGTGATTGTTCTTTAAAAATGGGACTACAATAAATAAACAAATCTTTGCTACTGTTTATTGTGCTCGATCTATAATTGATTGTAAATCAAAATAAGATATTTTCACATTTATTTGGGGAAATTTAACTATCTGTAGAAGCAAAAATATAGTTTACCTTTGTTTAAAGTAGTGATAAGCCAAATTTAGAGCCATGGCCCATGATATTTATAAAGGAGTGAATTTCCGAATAATTCATAAGTTTTATTGATAATGCAATGCAAAAATCAAGCTACTATTAGCATAGCCAAGAATCATAAAGAGACTAAGCATTATACATGAGAATATGAGAAAATTGATCAATGGTTCATCTCAATCAACTACATTCCAACAAAACTTCACACAAAAGACATATTTACTAAAATTTTGATTAGGCTAAATTTGACAACTTTCCAAGTCAAGAATGATTAACACTTATTCCTTGGTTAGGAGTGTGAAAATTATGATTTATTGCTAGGTTGCTAGCTATTACCAGCACATTTACCTATTTAGCACCTCTACTAGCTCTTGTCGAGCCCATTGCCTTTCTCAGTGCCTTGGCTAGCTCTTTATGGTCCAACAACTAATCCCAATTGCTAGCTATTACTAGCAAATTTACCTATTTAGCACCTCTAATAGCTCTTGTCGAGCCCATTGCCTTTCTCAGTAGTGTCTTGGCTAGCTCTTTATGGTCCAACAACTAATCCCAATGCCTACAACCTTCAAGTTGCTAACATATTAATTTTCACCTTGCCATCCTGCGGTCTTCAAGCTTGCTCCGCTAATTATGTCATTTGTGACTTTGGCAGTTCGTTATTTCTGCCTTCCATATATTGTTTGATAACTTTATTCTTGGCGAGGAAATGGTTATATGTTACATTTTTTTCTCATTCTTGTATAAATAATTATATTTGTGTTTTCATTTTCGTAGCTTTTTTTCTATTCTAATCACACACTTTGGATATAAATATTGTATCTCTTCTACTTGCTAAAATAAGATATACAAATTAGTATTCTCTCACATTTATTGATGTTAGGAATGCGTATGATTGAGTATCACGAGAATTGATTTGGTGTATTTTAAAGAAAAACATTTGCTTGAAATATTTGTTCAAATTATTAAAGATAATTATGATGAATTAATGATTAATATTAAAAATAGTTCTGCACTTAAGAAGAAGTTGATGGTGATGTAGTTTTACTTCATTTATTGACATTAGTATTTATCTTTCTACATTAGTTACCAAATTGCTTACAAAAGATGTTCACAATGATGTAATTTTGTGCATTCTTTTTTTTTTATAGTATTGTCTTAATGGGAGACACTTTTCTTAAAACACAAAAAAAGTTAAGAGAACTGACAGAATGTTTAGAAGGTAATGAAATTATGATTATTTGAATAAATATTGAGTGCATAATATCAAATTTTATTCACTGCAACATAAATAATTATTCAACGATATTATTAGAAGTGATATTCAAGTGTGACATTTTAAAATTTTTTTTATTAATTAAACTGGAGAATGTGGATGTAAATGGGCAATAAGTTATAGGGTTCAAATTCAGTTGTTAAAATGTAGAAGTGTCTATAATTGAATATCATGGAGGATTGAAACGGAAATTTTATTGTAATAGTGGTGGGCATTAAAATTATCTTTGATAAATAAATTGAGTACGGTCAAAATTGAGCATGTTTATATTTTTGTGTGCAAAAAGTATGAAGAATAAATTTAGAAATGATCAAATAGTTGTAGTAGTATCTATTGCAGATGATATAGTTGAAAATTGATTTAGGTCATTAAAGCATGTACAAGAAAGTGTAGATGATGGACCATTTAAAACAGTGGATGAACTTTATTTCGATTGAGTAAGAATAAGATGGGGTAGATTGAAGATAATTTGCATAAAAGTTGTGCAAAAGAAATGTGTGAAATAGTGGATTCATTAAGCCGATTTCAAATAATTAGAGTAGGGTTAATGACTTAATGTTGCTGTAAGCTCAACAATTTTCTTGTTGTTTGATCAAATTTATTTCTTTCTTATTTTACTTGAATATTTTGAATCCACTATTATGTTTGATCAAATTTATTTCTTTCTTATTTTACTTGGTTTTCTCCAACTGATATTAGGGTTTCATGCCTTGTCATTAATTTTAGTTTTTTATCTGAGGTTTCCACCAACTGATATTAGGGTTTCATGCCTTGTCATTAATTTTAGTTTTTTATCTGAACAAAGTGAGAAAAAAACTGCAAGACCACATTTAATTAGAATTTTACAATATTGCAAGTAAATGATTGTACGGAAAATAGTTTGAAGCGGCACATGGCTGATATGATTAATAGTTATAGTTAGCTAGTCAATAGATAGTGTTTATTTGATTTCTGCTCTCTCAATCTGAATACATTTTCCTATCATAAATTTTTTGATGAATTTGACTGATGCAGAAAAAATAGAGAAAGTGAGAAAGAACTTGGAAGAAGTCCCTCACTTTTCAAATTCTCCAGAGCAAGACCAGAAAGTTCCTGATAGATATAACTTGCGCAAAAGTTTAGCCTGGGATAGTGCATTTTTGACCGGTGAAGGCGAGCCTTATTATCAACTCTAGTCTTCTTTTTATTGATACTTCATCATTAAGTTTATCTTTTTGAATGGTTGGCTTTCCAAAGGTATTCTCAACCCTGAAGAGTTGGCAACCATGAATAACATGCGTGGTAAAGCTGGAATAACTTTACCTGGAATTCAAGAAATCAGAAAATCATCAGAATCAACTTCAAGTTTACAGAGTGATAGCTTGGCATTGGAGCAACTTGAATTGAATCTGTTTGATAATGTTAGAGATTCAATACAAAGGTCTTTGGGAAGCTCTAATCATACCACCAATATGGTGCATTATGAAGAAATAAAAGAGCAAATTAAGAGGGATGCATCAAATCCTAGAAGTAAGTTTTGCTCTGATTTTCAATTAGCATAGTTGGATCTGTTTATTTCACATGTTACAGAAATGCTTACTAAACTTCATTGCACATTGCTTATCAGCCCTGAAGAAAATTGATGATTCTTCTAAGATCAAGGTATCTTATTTCCAGCGACAGAATGTTTTTGTGTAAGACCATGTTTATAATTGTTTCAATTTTATATCAGCTGAAAACCCCAACTGCGTTGAGAAGGCACGGCATCACCAGGCAATCTCAGGAGCATACTTTGAAGGATGGTCTAGTTTGTATGAAATTGGTGTGCTTTCTTCCCATCATTTTACTTAAACATGTCTACATTCAATAATATTGTTTTTTTAATTTTACTCGTAAACCCCAGACTTAGTTTGTTGGATGGTTGAGGAAGGTTTCTATGCATTTGCATTGGGCCTGTAAATACTGTTGCATGCTTTGGGCTTTAGATGCTTTGATAAACATTATTCCTACTTTTGTAAAGCGCATGCTTGATCCTATATAATATATATTAACTTTTCGTGTGGTCAATTGAATAGCCTTCAGATGGAAATGCGGAATCAAAGCCTTTAATCAGACCACCGAAGATTTCATCTAAAACTATTAGTCTGCCAACATCAATGCCTGGCAAGAAGGCTTCTATTGAGATTAAAAAGATAAAAGGTAAAAGAAACAGGCTTTGCCTGGCGTGCAACTTTAGATTATTTTGATATTTCTGTTTATACAATTTTGATTTTTATACAAGCTATGACTCAGAAAGGATGAATAGCAAGGAAATTCTACCATTCACTATAAATGCAATTTTGTTATTCGCTTGCAGGTGCTACCACTAAGCAGCAGTCCATTGTAGCTTTTAATAAAGCACATGGGGTTCCAGGCAGAGCTCCTAGAACAACCTTATCAACAAAACCTACTTCTGGCACCCAAACTGGTTTGGTCCTCACAGCAACTTTAGAGTCATCATCCAGTAATCTAACCGCCGGTTCAGCTGATCCAAAAACTGTTTCTTCTTTAGTAACTGTTGCAAAAAGAAGTGCTAATAGAATTAATAGTTATTCTTCTTTAAGGACCAGTAACAATCTTCTGAATGTTAGCATAAATGGATCCAGAGGGGAAAATTTTCATCATCAAAATTTGGTCAAGTCTTCGTTAGCTTTATCAAATATTTCTCCTGCTAATTCTATAGACAGCGTTGTTTCAGAGTCTTCATCTTCAACTACTACTTCTATGATGCTCGGGAAGTCATTAGAAGGGTCTGATGCTGGGTCTTCATCCTCTTCTGTAGCATTTTCTGCTACTTTTGGGGACTCCCAAAACTCAGGTTAGAGGCTATCATTTATATTATCCATAAAGTTGGAAATGAGCTTTCCTTAATGTTTGCTAATGCTTGAACTCTTCTTATATGTAGGGGTGAAACAGGCTTTGCCTGGCGTGCAACATTTTTTGTGTTCGAAATATAAACAAGTCGAACACGAACAGTGAAGCGAGCCAAGGTCAGCTCGTGTTCGGCTTGATAAAAAAATATCACTGTTCGTGTTCGGCTTGTTTATATATGTGTTTGTGTTCGGCTTGTTTGCTTAGCGAGCTGAACACAAGTTGTTTGCCAACAAATGGTTATTTTGATAACCCTAATCACGCAGCCGTAGGATGATAAGGGTTGGGGCAAGATTTAAATATTATTATTTATTTTAAAACATCATTTAAATATAATTTAATATAGTTTTATTCAATTTTTTTACATGATAATTTTGATTGATTATAAATCTTTGTACCCTTGTAGTCAAATTAAATTTTATAAAAATATTACTCATCAATTATATTTATCTATATATATATATATGTGTGTGTGTGTGTGCGCGCACAGCGAGACCAGCCCCCCGTGTGTAGGGTGGGGTACTCGAATATTTAACACTGAGGGATGGTCGGGTCTCGTCTAATAGCCTTCGACCATTTCTTATATATATATATATATATATCATTGATGAGTAGTATTTCGTGCCAAAACGAGCCGAACATAAATGAACAAATCTTTGTTCGTGCTTAGGTCGTTTACATATCGAGTGCAAAAGAAGTATTCGTGTTCGGCTCGTTAACTTAGCAAACGAATAGAATACGAGTTTTTTAACGAGTCGAACACAAGCTGTTCACAAACAATGAGCCGTTTTAACAGCCCTCCTAATATGACATTCTATTTGAACAGGTCCACTCTCGGAGACATTTATTGATAATCGAACTAAAAGCTCTATAAATGGTGATTGTGGCTCAAGACTTGCTAGACCGTCTGGTCTTCGGACGCCAAGGCCAACAATTGGTTACTTTGATAAGGTGAAAGAGGTTTATAATTAGTTGCTACTTTTGATGTGTTCCCTTCGAGTATATATTATGTAATTATTTATTTATTTCTAAAAATTACAGGAGAAAACTCTAGTCCGTGGTTCAAACAAAGCCCAGAAAGCAAGCTTGCAGAATGCTTTGATGAAGAATGCTAGCGTTAATTCTACTAGTGCAACAAACAAAGTGAAACCCATGGATCATTTCATTGTAAGAGATAGAGGACTTTCTCCTGCTCTGTCAACGCAGGCTTCAAAATCCGCAGAAGCAAATTTTCTCACAAAAACTGAAAATCATCAAAATCTATGCCCTAAAGTAAACAAGATATCTTCCGAAACTCTTGAACAGAACTGCAAAGTAAATTCCATGAATGAACGGGCACAAGCTGAAAAAGTTCGTTCGTGTAACTCAAGAAAGAAAGAGGAACCAAATGTGCTTCATGTGGGCAGCAGAAACTGAAACAGTTGGAGATGAAACAACTCATTATCATTCAAACATAACACAGAATCAGCAGGAGAACGTGAAGTATGTCCATAATGCTGCTGATAGCGAAACAGATAAAGAGAACACATGCCCTGAATTGAAGGCTCAAGATTCAAGTAAAATGCAGAAGATGGAAATTGTAGTTGGGGAAGTTGTCCCGTCCTCTCTTTTCACTTCCTGAAGCAGAAGATTTCCCGGTCATATACTGAACTCGATCCATGTTAGCTATTGCAGTTCATCTAATCACTGACTGGTTACAGTTCAACACAGCTGTTGTTGATATGGCTTGCATGATGTCAGTATTGGATCAAATAACTGTAATTTTGGATTATATGATTCTGCTCACAGCTCAAATACATCATTAATGTGTTGTTAATTTGACAAGTAATCTCCTTGATTTTGTTGGTTGTCTTCCTCTTCCAATACTCGCCCCCAATCATTGCCATTGTTGCTACCTGACGCCGCTCATTGATATCTGTTGTTTGGTTTTACATTGATTTCTTTTATTTAACCAATGAAAAAAAGAATAACTGCATTTCTTTTACTTGGTGTTCTGTTTTCAACATATCAAATCAATTTTCACTGAGCAATTTTTTGGGTGGAATCTTAGGTTAGTTAATGGTTGCTTTCCTTGGAAGTTGCTTCTGTTAAGAGAATGTTGGTTGAAACTATGATCTTGTACTGTCAGTCCATTTGTTATAGCTGTATGGGTGAAATTTTTTGGCTAAATTGCTTGGGATTAACATTTGTAATGATTAGGCTGTATTTTATCGAACAAGTTCATTAAGTTGTTTTGTTGTTCTAGCTGTGAATCTTTCAAGCCCTCTTGTGTAGGACAACATTTTATCTTTAGGAATTAAAACATTGGATATTTTCGCGCCAAAAAAAAAATCTAAGATTTGGGGAAAAAAAAATAAGGGAATCAAAAGGATGGGCCCCAAAAAAGAGGGATTTTTGCATACATACCACAAAGTTTTTATGTATTTACATGTTTAATATCTAAACTTCTATGCTTAATATCACATAAAAAATATCAATATTATTTCCTTTTTAATAGTGAAATACACATTTTCGTGCATAGGTTTATAACACCAAAGTGTTATGAATGTAAATATAAAACCTTAGGTGTGGTATGTATATAAATTTAAAAAAAAAAAGAAATTTATGAAAAAAGGAAAATTTTAAGAAACTCGAGACCAATGTAAAATTACATAAAAAAACCTTATTTATTTGTTTATTTATTTATTTATTTTTTGAAGATGATTAAACTTTTGGAATAAGGATTTAAATTTTGTGAATTTTGAATCAGATCACAATAATTGCATCAAAATAAGCTAGGCGTATTTTTCAAAGTTTTAAACATAAAAAATTTAACATTTGAGTTTGCACATCAAAAATGCGCCAAAATGAATCTTGAAACAATTCAATGGATAACAAGATAAAAGTACAGTTAATGATGTCTCATCAGAAGATGTAGAGACCACGTAAGTAGAAGACTACAACCCCCTAAGAACAGGATTTGGGTTGACCGAACGAAGGTCATCCAATTCAAAGAACGAGACCTATCAAATCAAGGAAAGGAAGTAGTCTAAATTTCATCTGAGTATCACCTGACACACCACATGAGCCTACAACTCTTCAAGAGGCCTAATGACCTCATCTTCAAACATTCATCGAGCCTTCCTGATAGACCTCTTATCAAAAGAGGTAGGCTATCTATTAGAGTATGGTGATTCACCCTCTGACTGACAACATAGTTATATCTTGACAACTTAAGTTTCTCATCCAAGGCTCAACAATCGACAGTCAGACCAAGATAACAAACCCAGTGACTCGAGCTGACCGAATGAAGTTTAGATGACCGAGCAAAGTTTGGACAACCGAAGAATCATTAGTGCCAACCGACTGATCACCCCAATCGGTCGAATGTATCTGGTCGTCCCAAGCAATACAGGTTCTCGTCGACTGAAAAATAGAGTATCTGAACTATAAGCTCTTTTATTTTCTATATACCCAAAATATCCTATAACACTCCCATAAAAGTGGGGACACCCATGTAATTTTCCCTCTTTAACACCCCTCACCTAAGTATTGGGGGTCATTTCTACTGTAAAGTGTTAATCAATGACATTGAAAGAACCATATCCATAATGTGCACTTTTTCTTTCTCTCTCTCCCTTTCTCTATTTTTCTCTCTTACTTTATGCTTTGCTGTTGAGATGTGATTCACAAGACATATTCAGATTCAACATCCTGAAAAGTGTGGTGATCTTGTATTATATCACCAATAAGAAGAGGAGCACAAGGAGAAGAAACCCATGAAGGAGACACATCAAGCATGACATGGAGTGTACTAGGAAATTTATACAACAACAGATCTAGGAATTGAGAGACCATATGCTAGGTCAAATGGTAGCAGTAACCCGAGAAGCACTAGCTCGGGGAGGGAAGCAAAATCCATGAGACCAGCACCCCCCCCAACCAGATTCCTAATGTGCACGCTCTCTCTCTCTCTCTCTCTCTCTCTCTCTATCTATTTCCTCTCTTACTTTCTGCATTTTTCCTGGGATGTGATTCACAAGATAGATTCAGATTCAACATCCTGAAAGGTGTGGTGATCTTGATTATATCACCAATAAGAAGAGGAGCACAAGGAGAAGAAACCCATGACGGAGACACATCAAGCATGGCATGGAGTGTACTAGAAAATTTATACAACAATAGATCCAAGAATTTAGAGACTAGATGTTCGGTCAAATGGTAGAAGAAATCCAAGAATCACTAGCTCGGGGAGGGAAACAGAATCTCTGAGACCAGCCCCCCGGGAGAGCATAACCCTCAGGGAGAAGAACTAGTGCCTAATGGTTAAAGAACGTTATTGGTCAAGGAAAGAACTGATATCCTCTGTACAAGGACAATGTTAGTTCTCCACTAATGGATAGACATGGGTTCAAATGCATGGAGGCCTCTCACCAGTCAGAGAATGCATTCTCCTGATAGTTCTCTATCACTGATCCCTTTAAGAAGTCCAAAGTTTTGTCGCTCGGCTACTACAAAGGCTAGACTAATCTGAACAATCACATCAACTCCTTTGAGTAGAATTTTTTATTGGTGAGGATCACCAACACTATGAAGTGTCATTTCTTCTTTGCCACGTTGAGGTTAGCCCTCGAGTGGTTTAATGGATTACCCATTAGGGTAGTCACCTATTTTGCCAAATTCAAGAGGTTGTTCGTGGCACAGTTTTAAAGCACCCACAAGTTGAAGAAGAGCTCGCAAGCCCTGTGACAGATTAGACAAGGGTAGTGTGAGAACCTGTGCACATACATAACCATATTTTAGAAGGAGATGCTAGAAGCGTGAGATTTGAAACCTACATTAACACGTCATCTTATCCCAACAACTGAGGGGAGAGCAAATTTGATCTGCTCTGCGACTGCAATTATCAAAGACCTTGGTTGAGTTGTTGGAGATGGACAACAACCACATAACAACTGAATAATATGTCAACAGTCCCACCTACCATAAAGCTAAATCTTCTAATGATCAATTGTAGAAGTGGTCCTAGTAAAATAACGGGTGGAGACTGGAGGACAACCAACATCCTCTCATCTGTCCCTATCATAAAGACAGTCTGCCACCTCGTAATAGAAGGGGGGCCTGATATGAATCATTAACTTGGTTGTTAGACGAGGTATGCTGATGAGGGACCGTCTCAATATCATAAGCAGCCAACAAATGACCACCATGCACCAAGGGCTAGTGACTAAGAGTATCGATGGCAAAGTTAATGGATGCCATCCAAAATAAAGAGTAATTCAAAAAACGACCCCCAATGAGAGCCAGAGAATTTTCTCGATCCCCCCAAGAATTACTACACCTACCATCGAGACCATGGTCATGATACACATGATTGCAGGCACCTCTAAAGCCTGATCAAGGAGCTAAGAAGAGCTGGAAAGCTCAAGGAGTTATTACACATAGAGTAGTGACCCAGAGACATGGTAAGCTTTAGTGGAAAAAATACCGGATGAACCTATGTGGACAAATGCCATCCATATTGCTAGGTTTGTGTCAACAATTTTCAGAGGAGTCTGAGAACCCTCCAGATGGGCCAACCAGAAGAGGCTCTAATTTAGGGAACTTTACGCAGTTACTTTCAGTCTAAAGTGTAACCACTATCCATCAATAAATTTGTTGATACATGCATGCCTTAGAAGGAGAATCCCTACAATGACATAGTTGTGACGGCGATGATCAATAATTATTATGTGGGTAGTTGATATGTCCTATAGCATGCTCAATTTCCTTTACATTTAACATTTATTTTTAATGAAATTGCACTTTAAAAGTATTTTTGTGTTTTTTTTGTAGGTATAACAGGTAGGAGAGCTAAAGCTGAGATGGAGTGAAACAAAGGCGAAATAGAGCACTTGAGGAATAATATGGTTCCAGCACAGTGGCGCTTAGCGCGCCAATGTGCTCTACCCTAGTGGCTTTGCTTCGTCCCATTGGGGGTCGCTTAGGCGCCAACTTTGTGGCGCCTAGGTGCCAGAACTACCTGGAGTAACTTATGCTGTTACTTTAGCATGAATTTGGGAGTTAAAAAAGGGTTGGAGGTAGTTAAAGCTGCCCCCTATGAGTCATTGGACAGACTGGGAGAAACCCAAGGAAGGCAGTAGAGGAGAGTTTAGAGTTAGGTTTTGCTTTTTCTTCATTTTTTAGAGAGATTTGGGAGAATTCTATAAGGGAATGCTTTTAGCAGTTCAAGGAGCATTTAGAGATCACTTAGGGAGGAGTAATCAACTCTTTTATCAGGGAGAAAGTTAAGTCTTACATTTTATATTGTCTTGCACTATTTGTAAACTCATTTTCTATGGATTTGCTTTATAATATGATGATGAATTGTAGTGTTTTCTTCATGCACTGTGAGTAGTTCCTTAATACATTTCTCTTGCGATGAATTAGTTGGATGTGTAGGATATTAGGAAGTTTTTAGAATAGGTTTTTATTCATTAAAGTGATGGTTTTACTTTGTGCTTAGTTTACTTATCATTCTAACAAAATGATATGTTAAAATTTGTTGTGAACCCATAAAGACTCGTGAGAGCTATGACATGAATAACTAGGAAGAATCACAATACACTAGTAGGTGAAGGAAACGTATTTCATAGGGCAATGCAACTAGATAGAGAAATACAAATTAATGGGTTCAAATTGGGGTTTCTAGGGTGACGGGCATAAACACTAACCAAGTTGAACTAAACTTCTTTATACACTCGTGAGAGGGCAAAGAATATGATTGCTCTTATTTGTCTTTAGTTACAAATTCTATTCTAAGTGTTCCATTCATACACACTACTTATGTCATTGCAAGGGACGGGTAGTTTTTATATGTTGATTTT